TAAAACTAAGTGCAAAGATGACAGAATCAAAGTCATGATTTTATTTATTTTGAAGTTAATATAAATAAGCGTCAGATTTTAATACACATATACTAGTTAAGAGCATTTGACCATTCACTGAGTGAACAAAGGAGCTGTGGACTCCAGTTTCAAACAGGATGAGAAATTGATTTGGAGGCATGAGTTTAGGTTGAAGGACTCTTTGCCAATTACTGAGGAAGTAGCAAATAAGCTTTATCTAGAGAGAGGAAGCAACCTCCAGCTCAGTAGGTGCCAAAATAGGAGGGTCAGGGAGAGGCTTCAGTAAGGGAGGGAAGAGGGCAGTGAGAGCCGCTCTGGAGCATGTTCCTCTACTTATTTGACTCCACAGTTAGGAGACCAAGGAGACTTGCCTGGAGTCACTGTCACATCGTTGAGTGGAGTGAAAAATAACAGTGCCTTGCTACTGCAAATAGTATGGCATTTTGCCCAAAACATAAAATTGCAATATGATCCAGGAATTACATTTTTATATATACCCAAAAGAACTGGAAGCTGACACACCCACATTCATAGTAATTTTATTCACAATTGCAAAAGGATGGAACATCCCAGGTGCCTACCAATGGATGAATGAAGAACCAAATGTAACACATGCATACAGTGGAATCTTCTTCAGCTTTAAAGACATAGGAAATTTTGACATCCAACTGATGAACTTTGAAGACATTACACTAAGCAATATAAGCCAGACACAAAAGGACAAATACTGTATGATTCCGCTCACATGAAGTCCTTAAGGGGTAAAATTCACATAGATGAGAAGTAGGGTGGTAGATAGAGGTGAGAGTAGGGAAATCAGTTATTGTTTAAGGTTACAGAGTTTCAGATTTGCAAGATGAAAAGTTATGGATAGGAATGGTGGTGATGGTTGTACAACACGAGTTCAGTTAATGCCACTGAACTTTACCCTTAAAAATTATTAATATGTACATTTTAAGTTATGTGGTTTTTACTACAATTAAAAAGATTTTTAAGTCCTTTAAAATTCCAAAACAGCATGCCTTTTACAATTTGCAATTTTCCCACATACAATCATCAGTGCTTCAACAGAAATCCAGTGATGAAAACATGTTTTAGCTGTGTTTCCCAAAGGAGAAAGTGGACCTTAACCCAAGCTGAAAGGACTTGCCAAAGTCTAGTGGAGTTGGAGTACATCCAGATCTTTCTGATTCCTGTCTTTGGTTTTCTGAACCAGGCTGATTCCCAAAGAAAGAGAAATCCTTAAGCCCTCAAGGCCTGGGAAATAAGTTCTTTCCTATGTTCTCCCTGTGAACTTGAGATGAGTCACAAAACTTCAAATACCACTGGAATTATCCACCACCACCCCCATCCATGACTAGCTTCCATAGGGACGTAGTGCGTCTGGGCCACCTATGACCAACTGCCACTGACCAAGTGTCAACAGTTACTGAAGCTGGGAGCACTGTCCGACATACTTGCATCACAGCGTGCTGTGCCCAGGGCCCTGCTGCCTCAGGCCTCCTCTCCTCCAGGAGCTGCAGAGAATATTCGGCATCCGTGGTCCTGCCTGGATTCACCGCCCCAGGCTTTTGTGCCGTGACTCAGTTTCCTTGCTTGTAGGAAGAGGCCAATAGTGGATCCCCTGAAGGTGAGAGTGAGGAGGAGAATCAAGACAAGGTGGGCACTGTGGTTGGCATACAGTAGGTGCTCAATAAGCAACAATCACCATTTTCCAGGCACTCTGTCTGCATGTGGGAGCGAAGTCATCATGTATCTGAGGTGTCTCCTTTCGCCTCCTTAGCACTCCCACGAGAGTGCCTGATGTACTCAGTATCTCCCTGTCTAGTCCAGGTGACAGGCTCAGAGGACAAAGGCATTTTCCCAAAGTCACAAAGCTACTGGGACCTCCCTTATTTATACAACCATCTTCACCACAATGAATTGATTCTTAATACATATTTCTATTTTCTAAAAAAATTAAATAAATAAGCAATTACAGACTCACAAGAGAAAATAATGCAATGGAAAAAATAGTTGCAAAGGGAAGGTAGAAAGAGGTCCTATGTCCTCATCAACTATTCCCTTCTCTTGGTGACATGTTGCATATCCACAGCACACTATCCAAACCAGGAGATTGACATTGGCAGAGCACAATGAGCTACACTGCAGAGCTCAATGGAATTCCACCAGTTTTTGCACACACTCACTTCTATGAGTCAGTGATGGTTTTTAACACTTTATCACCTGCACAGGTTAATAAAACCATCACGACAATCAAGATAAGACTGTTCTGTTGCCATGAAGTGGATCCCTGAGACTAATTATTCAGAATGAGTCCTGTGCCTTCCTAAGCCCCAGAAACCCCATCTGTGCTCTACATCTAGAATTTTATCTTTTCAAGAATATTTTGAAAACAAAATCGTATTGTATACAACCCTGGAAGAGTGACTTTTTCTTCTTTGGTAGGACTTGGGTTTGAACTCAGGGCTTCTCACTGGCTAGGCAGGTGGTCTATCACTTGAGCCACTCCACCAGCCCTTCTTTTTGTGATGGGTATTTTTGAGAGAGGGTCTCACAAACTATTTCCCCAACCTGGCTTGAAACAGTGATCCTCCTGATCTCTGCCTCCTGAGTAGCTAGGATTGTAGACATGAGCCACTGGAGCCCGGCTTTCAAGACTGACTTTGTAAAAAGTTCACTCCACATAATGTCTTTGAGATCGATTCAAGTTGCTGCATGTAGCAAGAATTTTTCTTTTTTGACTAAGGAATTACAGCTTATAACCAGATCTCTCCCAGCGTTCCTGCAATCCAGGACCTCCTCAAGAGCTCCCAACATGAACATGTGGCCTGCCTGGGTCTGCTGCTTCCCCATTACATGCTGCTTTACTTTCTGTAGAGAGAGACCTGGACTCAGCTTTTTCCCCTCCACCCTGTCATCTTCTGATTCTGTCTAACTCCACCATCCTTCCCTGTCCCCTGCAGGACTCACTCTCTGATCCTCTCTCCATCTCTTTCCCTGGATGCTTGTTTTGTTTAATAGCATTTTTAAAGTTGAGATGTAGCTCACATAACATCAGTTTGTTTAAATGGCTTTTAATATACTCACTGCATTGTGGCAAAATCATCACTACCTAACTCAAGAGCACTTTCATCACCACAAAAAAGAAACCCAAATCCTCTTGGCAGTCACAGCTCGCAATCCCAATTCCTCCTCCCATGCCCTGGTCCCAGGGCATCTTACTCTTATTTCATGAAGAAGTCAGGGTGTTTCTAGGTGGACAGAGGAAAGGGGGTGGAAGTGGCCCTTGGGTGCTATAATATAGGAGTTGAACTGGCCTAATCTGGGCACTGAGTCTTGGATACCTGGATACCTTGGATATCTACACAGGCCACGGTGTAGGGATCCTATGGATGGGCAGGTCTCTGGGAGAAGTCAATGCCAAAGCCATAGACCCTCAAAGCAATGTTTAACCCAAAGAGGCCAAGCATGGCAGTCAAAGGTTCAGATTAAGCCTGGCAACACTCCTTATACTAGTCAAGGTTTGATAATTAGCCACAATAAGAAAGTGCTCACCATATTAACATATTGGCTTCACAATGTAGAGGATTTATTGAATTTGGGCATTAAGGTCCAAGTTGCTACGCAGTTTGGGAGGTAGGTAGCTTTGCTCCCAAAGGTCAACCAGATGTCCTATTTGTTATTGCTCTGTCATTCCCCAGGGTGTTTGTTCTCTTCCACATGGAAGCTGGCCCTTAGGAGACATTCCGGCACAAAGAAGGAACAAAGAGAACATGGCACCCAAAATGAACCCCCAAAGGTCAAGACTTGGAAGTTGCACATATCATCTGTAAGCTTTCACAGCCAGAAGTTAATAAGAAACTACACAACTGCAGGGGAAGCTGGGCAGCCTGGAGCCCAGCCGATCCCAGCAGCTTCTGAGATCAAAATGAGGGAGGGAAATTTTAAAAGGATTAAAATGGTTACTTCTATAAATTTTGAATTTTATTAGTTTGCCAAAATGAAATGAAGTTTCAGAAAACAGAGGAGAGGATGCAAATTTGGAGACAATTATCAGTCTCTTCTATAGTCACTAATCCATAAGTCATGGCATCATTTGGGGAAAAAAATACAAAATATTGCCTGCTCTCTATTCAAAATTATTCAAAAATTACAGAACACACGTGGCCTTTTGAGTTCACCTTTCCAGATCTCTTTCCACTGCAGCAGATTTTAAAACTTCAATAGGAAACCAGTGCCTTCTATCTGCCCAACAATCCCACTACAGGGAGCAGTGCTCACTGGGCAGGCCCTGCCCCCTCTCCTGCTTCTAAATGCCACAGCTGGTATATAGATGGAAGCTGATGTGACATCTGGACAGATGTGACTCCTGTCATCCCATATTTTTTAATCCTTCAGTGTCTTTTTGAGCATTTCACCAAAGGTCTCTGTGACCCTAAGGGAACCAAAGCCAGAAAACAAAGAAAGAAATTCTTGGCTTTTGGGTGCAACACCATAATCTGGCTACAAGATTTGGAATTATTTGGAAAAATAAATGATTAGGCACAATTAGGGAGGATGTTTCTAATGCCACCAAAGATGAGTGGTAAAGCAGGCAGCTCAGCGGACAACATTAGGAGGGGGAAGAAGGGGAGCCTAGGCTGGGACCAGAATAGATGGTGCATCTAGAGTCCAGCAGTGCTGTGGTTTGGGTATGGCCTGTGTGTTCTCACCAAGGGTTCATGTGTTGGAAGCTTGGTTCCTCACTATGGCCAAACTAGGAAGTGGTAGTAACCAAAAGGGGGGTCTAGTGAGAGGGCAGAAGACTGGCCCCCTTCTTGTGCTCTGGCTTCCTGTCACTTCATGTGACTGCTCCCTTTCTCATGCACTATTGCCATGAGTCCATCTGTCATGAGATGATGCAGTGGAAGGATCTTCTTTTTTCCATGACGCTGTCCAGCACGTCTCTCCTGACCTCCAAGTGCTCAGGGAAGGGCTCACTGAGTGGGGCCTGACTACAAACTCTCCTGGATCTGGATGAGTTCCTCCAACATCCTCTCCAGCTCCTCAGCCTGCCTGCGCAGGTCTTCAGCTGACTCTGTCTTTGTTCCCTCCTGTAAATGCTTTGTCTCTTTCACAAGACTGATCACATCCATCAGAAGGAAAAAACCTGAGCTGGCTGCAAGCATCATCCGGGCTCTTTTGGTCATTGCCAGCACAGTGCCCCCAAAGGCTTTCTCCACTTGCTTGGTGCTTCGAGCTGAGATTCTCCCACTAGTCATGAGATACTTGGCATTGGCTACTAAGCGAGGGTTGGCTTTGGCCAGCTTGATAGCTTGGATGCTCTTCTCAATCACTTTCAGGCTACATTTGCACATCTTGGTTAAGGCAATAACTCTGGGTGTGGTCTGAGCTACTATCCCTGCAACTCCCTTTACTTTGTTCATGCTGGTTGACAGCAGGTGGCTGGCTTCAGCTTCCACTGACAATCTCCTTGCACTTCCCAGGATGCTAGTGACAGTACCTGTCAAAGTAGCCACTGCTCCCAGCCCAATCCCAGTTGCTGAGAGCATCAGACTGCCCCCTGCTGTCACAGGTGCCAGAACCAGGCCAAGAATGCTCAGGACTCCAGAGGCAGCACTTGTGGAGTCAACCACCAAATTGGAGATGGTACAGTCCCTGTGTACCTTCTCAACCTTGTCTGCAAGATCCCAGAGCTTTCCTATTTGCTCCACAAGCTCCATTTTCACCTGATGAAATGTTTCCAAAAACCTTTCCCTTGCCTGCTGTTCTTTTTGGAGCCTATCTTTGTCCTCCACAGCCATGTCTACTAACAACTCCTCCAGAGCATCACGTAGCTGTACAGCCTCATCCCTGTAAGAGTAAAGTTCATGTAATTAAGAAAGACAGTTTGCTTATCTGTAAAGTGGGCTCTATAAGATCCATCCTATACAAATCATGGAATTTTTACTATAAATCAAATGGAAAAGAATTTTACAGATGTACAGAATTTTTCTTTTGATGGTGAACATGTTTGGTACATCATAGATGCTCCATGGGCAATGAATACAAGTCATCTTTTGAGGCTCTTTAATTGTATTTGATAAAGATGACTTCTCACTCAAGGTCAATGCCATCACTACAAGGTATATGGAGAGCAGGAACTCTGTACATGAACTAAGAGATACAGGATTTGGAGCATAATACTCCTTAATTCAGAAAATGTCAGTGTGTAGTAAAAAGTAGCCTTCCCCAAAGACAAGTCTTCTCTTTGTCCTCAGTAACTGGAAAGCTATCTAAGGATCTCTAGAATGTCCTGACTGCTAGGAATGTCTGTGTTTGCCTGGTGACTTTGACCACAACCTCATACAAGTTGAATATTCCTAATCAGAAAATCCTAAATCTGAAATGCTCCAAAATCTAAAACCTTTTAAGTACTGACATGTCATAAGTTGAAAGTTGTACACCTAACATCATGGAACAGATCACAGTTAAAATGCAGGTGCGCTAAAAATATTGTACAAAATTGCCTTCCGGCTATGTATATGAGATGTAAAGAAACTAAAATTAATTTGTGTTTAGATTTGAGTCCCCTCAATATATTTCACTGTGTCTGTCTGCAAAATTTCAAAATCAGAAAATGTTCACAATTCAAGACATTTGCCATAAATTCCAAACATTTTCAATAAAAGATGCTCGACCTCAACTTGTGATGTGTGGTGGGGGCTTTGGAATCATTCCTGACCTACGGAGGAATGGAAATCTAAAGGCTTCATCTGGAAAGAGGAGACTCCAAGTCACCTTAAAGGCAGTATGTGGTCAATGCCCAGAAAACACTGGACACTAAGCCTTACATTGAAAAAGACTCTTTCCTTGACCAAAATTGAGTAAGACTCTTCTAAATTTTTTCTAAACCAGGTGTTGACCTTGGTCTTCCACATCCATCCTGAGTTTGCTGTGTCTGTCCCCCCAGGTTTAGCAAAATTCCCTACTAAGCCAGATTAGAGAGATCCCCCAGCTTTGATATCTGATCACATTCCTATTTCCGACCTTTGATGTATTAGTCCTTGACCTGTCTTTTGGAAGAGTCTCTTGAAGTCAGCTTCTCCAGAATTCCCCTACTCTTCATGTCCCTGTCATGAATATGCTGTCTCTCACTCTGCTTTTTGGCTATAAATCTCCAGCTATCTTTATCTTATCCAGAGTTGCTCCTGATCTTCCTCCCCTAGTCAATAATTCTGAATAAAGCCTTCCTGTTTTACTATACATCAGAATGTTTCTTTCGCAGAGTGAATTTCCTTAGTTGGAAACACTCTGTATGAATTGTCACATATTTAACACAGGACCACACTGAGACCTGAAGGCACCAAAAGCTTCTTGCTTGAAGCCCTCCCAGACTGCCTCATGTGTCTCTTTCACTGACTGATTTTAACCTGTGTCCTTTCTCTGTGATAAACCAGGAGTGTATAACAACCATCTTCATGAGTTCTGTGGATCTATTTAGGACATTTCAAAACTGTGAGCAGTTCGGGGAGATCATCAAAATTATAATTGGTGTCAAAGAGTGATGTTCATATGTATTGTGTTCTTAGATTTTATACTTTAGCTAAATCTGGGTGCTCAGAATTAAAATGTAAAAAATCCCTCAGAGCCAGAAGGGACTGAGAATATCATTTTTCTGGTTGTTTGTTCTCTTTCAAGTCATGTGCCCTTGCTCTTCTGGCTTGGAGGCCATCAAAACCTGCTTTTGTCCCAGTTGACTAAAAACAGAAGACCTGGCTATTAACCCTGGCTCCACGCTGATCCTCCACCCAACCTTTCAACTCCTGATCCACCACCTGCACCTCAGCCTTCAAGGCCTTCCTGGCAAACATCACCAGCCTAATGGATACCTGGACTGGTAACAACTTCACATGTGTACATGCCAAGTCATCATACAAAGTCTTAAGAGAGTTTGAGATGTATCTGTGTGACTTGTTAAGCCTGAAAAGGCTCACATTTGGACAATATAATAGAGGGAATATTTTCCCTTGTGTTAAGCACTTTCAAATCTCAGACTCTGTGGAAGTACACAAAATAGGCAGACAATCATTCTGACTTAGGAAGTTGTCACTAAGCCACACTACCTTCCCATTGGTCAGGGGTTACTCTGTGTGGAACAGAAGAGGGACCCAATGGTAGCTGAGAACTTCCCAGTGCCCTGGCAAGATGTAGATGAAGCACCACCCACAGCCATCAGTGATGGGATCCATGGAGGGAGAAAAAACATATGCCCTCTCCCTCTCATGTGTCATCTGCCAGCTCCACGGCCTCCCTCTGATCTGTGCTTCTGCACTTCCCTTGCCTCCCTCTGGTCTAAGCTCTGTTGTTACTCCATCCTAGGCCCCCTTCTGCTCCATCTGTCCCCTGGCCCAGCTGTCTGGGTTTTAGGAAGGGTCTTATACTGGTCCCTGCTCTGATCCATATCTCACTCCCAGACCACTGTGATGGTTAATCTTAATTGTCAACTTGATTGGGTTTAGAAATGCCTAGGAGATTAGTAAAGCACTCCCCTGAATGTGTCTGTGATGGCATTTCCAGAGACCTTTAGAACAAGAGGGCTCTATCTGATGAATGGATTAATCCCTTGATGGATTCATAACTTAATGCCATTATTGGGCATTAGTGAAAAGAAACTGGGGCCTAGCTGGAGGAAGCAGGTCACTGGGGGTGTGTCCTTGTGGGCTATATCTTGCCCTGGTCCCTTCCTCTATGTCTTAGCTCTGCTTCCTGCCCACCATGAGATGTTTTGTTCTGCCATCCTCCCTGCCACAATCAACTGGATTCACTGAAACTGTGAGCAAAATAAATCCTTCTTCCCCTTAATTGTTTAATTTTTTTTTGGTCAGGTATTTGGTCACAGTAATGAAAAAGTAACTAACAGGAAATTGGTACTGGAAAGGTGTGTTGTGCTTGTAAACAAAGCTGACCGTGTGGTTCTCAAGACTTTGAAACTGGTTTGAGGGAGAAATTTGGAAAATTTGGAGAAAGAGGTTAGAAAAAAAGCCTAAAATACTGTAAGTAGAGCTTAGTGGGCAATTCTGGTGGGATCTCAGAAGACTAGAATGTGAATAGGAGTACAGAAAGGAAGGCCAGGCTTATGAGGTTTTAGAGGTGAGCAAGAACTATACTGGGAATTGGACTAGAGGCACAGAACTTGTCTGCATTTTCTCCATGTCCTGAAAATTGAAGGAGGCTGAATTCAAAATTATGAACTAATTAATTTAGCAGAGGAAATTACAAACAGCCTGGCATTCCATGAGTGACAGGAATATGGATGATTGCTTGTAGGGAGGTTTACAGTGAAAATCAGGAGCAAAAAGGAAAACAAGGATTGGAAAAACAGGCAGTCTGCCCAGAAAAGGAGACAATTGAAAGTTGTGGACCAGGAGGTATGGCTGTTAAAGAGACTGGTGCCATTAAAAAGAAGCCAAGCACTTTGACTGGAAAAATAGGGAAGATGTCTTGAAGGCATCTCAGGAATTGTCAAAACCCCACCTATCCCAGGCCACAGTGGTAAAACTGAAAACCCATTCAAAAGACTTTCCCTTGAGAAGAGAGAGCAGTCAAGGCAGGCACCCTGTTTGCACATGGCCAACTATGGAAGTATTTTACAGGATTCAGCTGCTCTGGCATTCAGAAACTGTGAGCAAAATAAATCCTTCCTCCCCTTAAGTTTTTTGGTTATGGTGATGCAAAAAGTAATCTATATACCCTGTCCTACCAGATTTAATTGTTATTCTCACTAAAGTCATGATAAATCCAAGTCTTCAGGCACAAGCCTGAGTCCTGACTCTGGGCAAGGACAGTCAGCATTCAACCAGCTCTGTTCACTCCACTGTTGCTGGCAAGCCTGTTGGGTCTGCAGAAGGACCTGCTCTGTTTGAATAATTCCTCACATAGGAAGAAAAATGGCCTGAGCCAGAATGACCCCCAGGAACCATGTTCATATTTTTTGTCCCACTGCAAAACTGGTCCTCCTTTGTTCTCATCTCCAAGAATGAGACTGTTGGCCCTGGTCTCTTCAAAACAGGCTTTTTTAAAGTAAATTTTCACCAAGCACCTATTATACATCTACCTTATACTAAGCTCTTTAGAAACAAAGGCAGAAAGTGGAAAACTAACCCACATAGGTCACAGAACTAACAGATGGCAGAAACAATCTTACCCCCGATGGACTCAATCTCTCCTTAACCTGAAGCTGTCCAGTGCTAAGGAGTAACAAAGAGGAAATGCTCCTCATGGATTGCTGAGAAGGGCCATCCTCAAGTCCAACCACAGGACTGCCTGGAGGTGTGCCTGCCCAGAGAAAACCAGCCCAGGAGGAGTGTGGGTGGGAGCACTACAGCAGAACTGACCTGGACAACTCAGCCTCAGCCACAAACACCTTCCACACTTCATCTTCAGTCAGCAAGAGCTGCAGGTTTTCTCTGCCCACTGAGTCCAGGAGATTCTCAATGACATTATCAATGGAATTTCTGCTCCCTAGTTGGAAGGAAAAAGAATAAGTTTCGAGGACAGTGCAGCAGAGATTGAAGTCATCTAGTACAAGAGGGTTAAAAGTCATGTCCCTGAGCATCTGTCACATGGGGTACTTTTGACCAAATTCATATGCAAAACCCTACCCCCCCAGTGACTATGGAGATTTAAAGGAAGTAATTAAGGTCATAAGTATAGTCCTAATCCATAAGACTGCTGTCCTTAAAAGAGAAAAAGAAACCAAATCTCTTCCCCCCCCCCCCCCCCCCCCCCCCCCCCCGTCGTCTTCTATCTTCTACCTATTTCTATCTCTCTCTATCTCTATCTCCATGACAAAGGAAAGACCAAGTGTAGACACAGTGAGAAAGCTCCCTCTACAAACCAATGAGAGCCCTCACAAGAACCAATCCTGCCATTCTTTGATCAGGGTGGTTGGCTTTCAGAAATAGAAATCTTTTGTTGAAGTCACCGTTTGGTATTTTGTAATGGCAGCTGGAGACCAATATAGCAAGGAAGTGCCATGGTGCTTTGCAGAATTTTTACTTCAGTATAATCAGAAAGTGAGACTTTCAGCCCTAGGAAATGGAAAAATTCCAATGCTAGCTTCCATCAATCACGTTCCTGTTGCATGTCAAACACTGTGTACCAGCACGATTGAATGTGATTTTCAACCCGTCAGTGGTATGGTTAATCTTGATTTTTCAACTTGATTGGAGTAAGAAATCATAGGAAATTAGTAAAACATACATATAGGAGTATCTGTAAGGGTTTTTCCAAACAGGATTTGCCCAGAAGGGCTCTGACTAATGAATGGATTCATTCATTAATGGATTCAAAGTGGAATACACCATTGGGAGGTGGTGAAAGATGGGAGGTCTGTCCTGGTTGGATGAAGTAGGTCACTGGGGTTGTTCTTAGAGGATATATGGTGCCCTACCCCCTTCCTGTTAGTACTCAGTTCTGCTTCTGGTCCATTTCCACGATGGTGTAGACTGCTTCTCCACACCCTTTCAGCATGATGGGTGCAACCTCCAAAACTGTAAGCAAAACAATTCTTTCCTTCCTTAAGTTGTTTTCATGGAGTATTTGCTCAGAGCAACAATAATACTAACACAAGTGGATTCTGACTTTAGCTTATTGGATCAAAAGCAGTATCTTAAAAAGCAAATGGAATTGACAATATCAGACTAAATTAAACATAGTAAGGGTAAGAATTGCTTTGTGAATTATTTCATATGTGTATGTACATACATCTACATGGGTGTGTGTTATACTATTCTCTATATGTGCTATGTGAATAATTTATATATATGTACATATATATTTTTATCTAAATTTCTGGGACTTAGATATAACTAGGAATTCAGAATTTTTAATGTTTTAAAAATATTTCTAAAGTAATTTTAAAAATTGATCTACAATGACTGTAAGTATTTATGATATAGAATGTAATATAGACATGATATAGAATGTGATATGATATGTCATTAACATCACCTCAAACATCATTTCTTTGGTCACTAATATCTATTTTGAAGTACACAATTAATTAGAATTTTTAATCTTTTAGAAAAGGAAGCCTAGAATGATGACTCACATCTGTAATCACAGCACCTGGGAGACTGAGGCAAGACAATTGTGACTTCAAAGCCAACCTGGGTTGTATAGTGAGCTCCAGGCCAGACAGGATTGCATAACAAGACTGTTTCAGAAAGAAAGAAGAGCAAAGAGAAAGAAAGAAGGAAAGAAAGAAGGAAGGAAGGAAGGAAGGAAGGAAGGAAGGAAGGAAGGAAGGAAGGAAGAAAGGGAGGGAGGGAGGGAGGGAGGAAGAGAAGGGGAAGGGAAGCAGTTTGCAGGGATATCTGAGGAGGTTACAGAATTGCAGATCAGGGGCTGGGCTTGGGGACCAGTATATATTTATGTGTGTACTGGACATGATATGAAATGTGCTTCCTTGTGCATACTCATACGAGGAAGAAAGTCACACACACACACACACACACACACACACACACAAAGTGACACTCAGACAGGAAAAGGGATGGCCCAAGTTAGCAAGCAGACAGCTCAGGATTTGAACCCAAGCCAATTAAACATTTTTGACCTTAGTCTCAAGACTTATGTTTATTAGAATTCCTGTGGTTTCTGCATTCTACTCTGAAGTTTCCCTGTGGGGTTTACTTAAATTTGAAAATATGTTGCAACCACACACTATGTAGTAAAATGACCATGCAGAAGAGTCCTCCTGCTAAAGATGGATGCTCTGAGCCTTGGCAAAGAAGGGGGATCATCAGGTGGGTGGTGATGGAAGGGTCCAGACCCTCAACCCCATCCTTGTGACTTCTCCATGTCTCAGGGGACCCTGCTCCCCCACTGGTCCCTGTGAACCCAGCTGGCCCATTTATTAAATGAGAGGGTGTTTATTCTTCCATACACCATCCCAACCCTCCCTCAAGCTCCAGGGGCCTGCTGGGAGCACCTGCTATCAAATCTTTCCCCATTCCTATTCCTCGCTTTGACCCTTCCAGGCACAATTTGCTCCCCAGTGCTGGCTCCTGGGAAGAATTTCCTGATGCCAAGGCAATTGGGGGAGGGGAGGAAAAGGGCCTGAGACAGCAGGACTGCAGGGAGGGTGGGGTGGGTGGGGTGGGAGGAGCGTGGTCCTGGTGGAGCCTCTTTCCTTTTTGTGTCACTTTCTGTCTCTTCTTTTCCATGAGATGAGTAGAATAAGTCCCTGCCTTGAGGCAGCCACACCTGTGAGCAGGTCCTTGTCATTGGGAGGGTAGGGCAAGTGCTGCACAGCTTTGGAGGTGGGAGTGAGGGAAGTTTCTACCTTGAATGAACAGTGGGACACAGGTAGATGGGGAGAACCAATAGTAGGGGGGAACCTATGATGTGACAGTCACATGTGTGAGCCACCTAGACATGTCACATCTGATCCTCAGAACACTTTGGAAACAGTGTTCTCCTGTCACAGAATGGAGCTCCAGGTCACATGGGTGGGAGGTGGCAAAGGTCACACTTCGGTCCAGTTCGGTGGCATTGTGAACCAGTCTTCCTCCTGAGCCACTCAGAGAGGCCTGACCACCAAGCTGGTGGGGAACAGCCCCTTCATGGGTAATGCCCCAGGGTCAACTCAGAGAAGCAGAGAAGGAGAAGCCTCCAGGTTGCTGTGGATCTCCTGTCTCATCCTTCCTAATTTCCATTTCCTTCTCTCCTCCCCACTTCCCTGCTCTGCTTCCCTCCCCTTCCCTGTGATTATACTGGCCATACCTGAAGAGGCAGAGTAGGGAGGAACTGATAACCTGAGCCAAGATTCCCAAGAGCTAGTCAGCAGTCTCACAGACCCACATTTCAGGGCACTCCATTTGGTCCCTCTTGGAGCTCTGACTCCTCTACAGGCTAACTCAGGTTGGAGGTGACACCTCAGATCTAGGCCTCAAGCACAAACCACTCAGAGGTGACCATGACTACCTGTGGAGGCCTCACAGGAATCTCGGTCCATGGCTCCAGCAGCAGTATCTCTCACAGGTTTTCTTTACAGCTCACCTGTGTCGTCCAGGCTGCAAAGAGGAGAAAACAAATTAGGGAATGGAATGTGAGACAGCTTCAGCCAGGCAGCAGCCAGGGACCAGGTCACCTGTGTTTCCCTCTGGAATTGCAGCAGAAACCTAGATGGACACAATCCACAGTGTTCCTATTCCTTTGGCTCTGCATCTTGCTCCAGCTACTCTGTCCTCAGACTAGCAGAGACAGAGGCTTCTTGTGCTGTTAGGGACAAGAGGATGAGGAAATTGGATGAGGACACAGCCACATAGATAGAATCGAATCTACACACAGAAGAAAGAATGAGGAGGAATGTTCTGGCAGTTATCAGGGATTGGGAACACCATGCATACTAATGATAATGGCTAATATTTTTTGAGTGTCTATGATACATAGGCTTCTTACCTGCACTTCATTAAGTGGTCACACATGCTCCATGAATTAAGGACCCTTATGGCTCCCATTTCAATGCAGAGGGAACAACCACACAGATCAGATGATATGTCCAAATATTCACAACAGTGTGAGTGCCAGAACTTGAACCCAAGTTGTTCTATTGAAAGTCTTTTTACATGACTATGTTGTAGTCCTTTAAATACACAAAAGTATTTCTCACAATACATTCTTTTTTATTTATTTATTTATTTTATTCATATGTGCACACAATGCTTGGGTCATTTCTCCCCCCTTCCCCCACTCCCCCTTACCCCTACCCCCTCCCTCTCCCCCCACCCCCCTCAATACCCGGCAGAAACTATTTTGTCCTTATCTCTAATTTTGACAATACATTCTTTAGTTAAGGAAACTTCTCTCTCCTAACTGATGACATACCCTGTGCCCAAGTCCCTCTCATAAGTTTACTTGTGCTCCTGTGGTTTCCCAATGTCTGCACCTTCCTCCCTTCATCCTAAGAGGACATGGAATCCTTCCAGATCCTGTCCCTGTCCCTCTCCTTGTCTGGGCTGCCTAGTCCTTCCGATTCCTCCCTTAGCAGTTGGCCCTTGGGTTGTTTCTAATTTTTTGTGGAAATAGTAGGGCAAAGATCATCACCCTTGTATTAAAATTTACCTGCACTTGAGATTATTTTAAAGAAATTTCTAGAAGTAAAATGACTGTGTTGCAGGATATCCATATTAAAATATTGTTAATAATTAGAGTCACACTGTTATGCAAATAAATTATATCAATTTACACTCACACAGGCAGAATATAAGGGAGTCCATCCTCTCAGTCTTAGCAGTTGTTAGTCATGCTTGTTTTTTTTAAAGAAAGCTCTATAAATAGAGAGAATTTCAACTTCTATGGTAATTATCTTGCCTTGAGAGATGAGGAAATAAAGCAAATGTGCTGAAACCCTGTTTTAAGACGATACAGGTGCATTGATCAATTAACCCCTCCTGAGACCCAACTACAATGAGAGTAAAGGCAAGTATAGAGATATAATGACAGCTAATGACAAC